TGCAAATATAAGCCAATCAATGGTAGAGACATTAAGTGAAGAGAACAACGGTATTCAAAACCAATTAATAAAAATATAATGAAGGAAAACTTAAGAATTAAAGAAACATAACATTCAATAATTGTGTGAATTAATATTTGTTCTAAGTTGATATATCTGTTATGAATAATCAAGAGTGGTCTGCCCTTGTTTTTTTACACCCCTCTTTGAAAGAGCTATTTCTTTTTAATGGGACTATATAAGCGAACCTTGTATTCTCAATTGAATAAAGCTTTTTTAAAGCCTACATCTGCGTACTATTGTCATTACAATATCTTTACTCGATCAAAATATTGCTAAGAATAGAAATGGATCTAAAACTATTGCCTTCTTAATAAAGATGCGTTGACTCCGACAAATTGAAGCGGGTATAAAATTATATAATTAAACAATGGAATTAATTCATTTACGCTTAGTTTAGCAAGGATTTTATAGGATAAGATTTTCTCTTTATCTATTTTAACAAGACATATGTAAGTGCATCTCTTTATAAAAACTGGCTTCAGTGAAGATGAAATGATAGGAAATGTAGAATGAATGATGAAAAGTAAATAATGATGAGGAATAAGTGTAGTTGAATAAGAAAATAATGAAGTCGTTAATGATTTTGGAAGAAACAATGAAAAATGTGAAAGTGTGAAAAAGGTCGACATTGAAAAAATGAAATTAAAAACAATTCAAAGATGAAATTTTAGAAAGAAAGCCAAAGAGTAGGAAAAGTGTAAATGAAGAAATGAAAGAACGAAAAATAATTTTACTGAACAAGATAAGAAATAAAAAATGACATGGATTTGATGGTTAAATAAGGATAAATTTCGGAGAATCTGAGGTGAATGGAAGAAATATTAGAAAAGTAAAACTAATGAGTATTTTTCCTATTTCTTTGTAATTTTGTTTACAGTTGTATTTTTCAAAATGGTTCTTTCTGTCTGCTTTCGACTTCCCTTCAAGATGAATGTTGTGCCTTATTTTCGCTTCTTATGGAATAATTGTTTGCCAACAGAGTCGCTGGGAGATGCTGAAAGAAAAAATAATTGAAGTGGAATGGCTAAAATGGTGAACGTGATACTCTGAATTGAAGGTAATTTATCCACAAAGCCTGGAGTAAAGACGAAAGTGAGTCGTTAATAAGGAGAGAAAAAAATGAAAGAAAATAATTTGAAATGAAGAGAAGTTCTAAAAATTGTTGCAGAGAGAGAAAGAGAGAGAGAGAGAGAGAAAGAGAGAGAGTAAAAGAGAAAGAGAAAAACAGAAATAGAAATAGAGAGAAAAATATTGAGAGAGATGAAAATTTAATGTTACGTTGGGTACAGACGATAAATATAAATCATGACAAGAGTGTTTAGTAAAGGTGAGTAAAAGTAATGAAAAAGCATTTCTGGCACAGGTAAGATGGCTAAACAGCAACAACAAAAATAAAGATGTCTTCAGAATTGGGCTTATTTGATTTGATGAATTCATCCAGAAAATTCCATTTTCTAATATTAAAGCGATAATCAAACTTTCTAAAAAAACAACAGCCATGAATTTTTTTAAATCATTTCATCCCAAGGCGATGATGCCACTAAGACGCAAGGATTGAAAATAGAATAAGAAGAATTTAGTGAGGAGAAAAGACAATAAAAGAACAGGATTAAAAAAAACAAAAACAACAGAAGATGGCAATGGAGATTGCATTTACGTTTTTTAAAATTGTAGATTGAATGGAAGTAAAAAACTGAAGGAGAGTTCCACAGGCGAGAAGTACGAGAAAAGAAACTATTAGACTAGGACTTACAGTTACATCTATTTATTTATTTATTTATTTTAGCCATTTCACCCTAAGCAAGGCGACTAGGACGCAAGGGGGTTACAGGAAGTGAAAAACAATGAGAAGACATTAGTGAGGAGAAATGAGGAAAAGGTCAATAAGGGAAGAGAATTCAGGAAGACAGACGACTGACGTTGAATTTAACTTTTTGAAGATGGCATGGAAGCAAGAAATCAAAGGGAATTCCACAGGCAAGATGTGCGAGAAAAGAATAGAATTGAAGGTTCCATCTAGCTAGTTCAACAGTAACAGTGAGACCTAGTTGCCAATCTAGTAATATGCTTCAATTTATGCAGTCGATGCACTAATGGAAACAGCCCATTAGAACAATTGCCATGAAAATATTTATAGAAAAGACAAAAGGAAGTCACGTCATGTCGGTAGGAAAATGACTGCAGTCGAGATGCCAGATCAGGATCGATTACATTGCAGACCCTTCTTTGAATTTTGTCAAGAATCTCGACATGTATAGTGGGAGCACCAGACTAAATATAGCAGCAGAGTATTCAATGCACGGACGAATGGTAGAAATTATAAATGTGTAAGAAGGACCCTGACGAGAAAAAATGCCTGGCACGATATAATGAATCAACTTTCCTAGCAGTAAAACTAGCAATTGATTCAATACAACTACTCCACTTCATGTCAGTGGAAAACGTGAATCCAAGAAGCCGCAAAGTGTTGTTCTCCTAAAGTTTAGCAACAGCTACGCTGATGACACGTAGAAAGATTTCTCTGTTTTGATTAAATGAAAGCAATTTTGTTTTGATGGCATTTTACAAGCCATTCCCTGCCCCAGTCAATCACTGATTTGAGTTCCGTTTTGTGAGTAGTTGCCACTTTTACTTTGTCGGATCTGTCAGACTTGCTACTAAAACAGGAGTAAATAGTTATGTCATCTGCATAGATACCTAGTTGGAGACTGATGACATCGGGAAGGTCGTTGATGAAGACCAGAAACAGGTCCGAATATAGAGCCATGGAGACCCCGGCATTAATATGGAATGAACTAGAAGCGTTTCCGTTCAACACAGACCTTCATTACATGATTTGTTAGGAACGATTGGATTAGGCCAAATATTTAGTCCTTAAGCCATAGTCCTTAAGCTTGTGGAGAAGGTCAACATGCCAAACCCTGTTGAACGCCGTTGAAATATTTTCGCTGTTCTTATTTAAAGCTTGATAGACAATGTCGGTGATGATTGTTAACACATCTGGCAAAACAGAAGCCATATTGTCCGTCTGAAAGGAAGCCATGTGAAGTAAGATGCTTAACCAATTCGGCGTTGATTAGAGCCTCTAATACATTGCCCAAAAGAAGAGACTAATAGGGAGATAATTCGAGGAGTCAGATGGTTCCCCAGAGTTCTTAAAGATAGAAACAAGATGCCATGAAAATATCTATAGAAAAGACAGAGAGAATCCACATTAGCCCGCTACTAAAGAGTAAATAGTTTTGTCATCTGCATAGATACCTAGTTGGAGACTGATGACATCGGGAAGGTCGTTGATGAAGACCAGAGACTGGTCCGAAGATAAAGCCATAGAGCCCCCACCCCTGCATTAACATGAACGGAAGTAGAAGCGTGTCTGTTCAACACGATTTGCATTACACGATTTATTAGGAACGATTGGATTATAATTAAATGTTCATCCAGAGACACCATAATACTTGAACTTGTGAACGAGGTCAGCATGCCAAACTTTGTTGAACTCCTTTGAGATATCTCGGGCTACAACCTGAACTTGGCTGCTTTTATCTAAATCTTGAAAGACAAATTCAATTTGTGTGCGTGCGCGTAGGTTTACGCGTGTGTGTGCATGTGTATGTATGCATGTCTGACTATCGGTGAACATGTGGATGTGTACGGAAGAAGCAATATGTTAGCAAGGTTAAATCAAGGGAGAAGTTCTTTTCAACTGCTTGATTTTTCACTAATTTTCGATGTACCAACTTGCCTGAAAGTGAATGTACCTTTTGGAAACCTCAACATTGGCTGGATTTTTTTTATTTTTGCTAAATGTTCACCCAATCTAAGACCCAAGAGCCACTCAAGCTACTGAATGAGGTTGTTGTGTGAACGCAAGAGGATGAAGTAAGTGCAGATTATGAGGATATGTAAGATAAATAACGGTTTACCCTAATGATTTTATACACAAGTTTGTGAGTTACTGCGGATGTGTATATATAATAGTTTATTATTTTATAGTTTATTATTTTATGTTAAAGTGCATTGATGTACTGGCCAGTTTTAGTTGCTCTCATGCACCTTCTCAAAACTTACTGTAGAAAAAATGAAGAAAGAAAACTTTCTTTTTTTAATTTCGTATTTTAAGTATACAATCCTTTTATATGCGCGTAGATATTTACACTTGATGGTTTTGAAGGGGTAAAGAAATTCACAGCTGCGGTCAGTTGGAAAGAAGGTTTGCAATTTTATCGAATCAAAATCAAAACACCAGTTGCCATGTTCATACGAGTCAAATGTTGACATTCAATTATTTTGTGTAGATGAAAAGCAACAAGCTTTGACTGTTCGTGTATGAACAGTAACGTTTTACTTTTAATCAAAGTAATAGATCTAACAGTTCATTAGTATTTTTCCTTGACATTGGAATATCATAAGTACACTTGATTAGAAATAGAACTTTGTTTTTCATGTGATAGTATTTCATATATATATTGTTGTGGTGTCCTCCCCCTATGTTGGACTCTTCCTCCTACTATAAGATTAGTAGGAGAGAAGGACTTGGGGGAACATTCGAATAGATTCAACGCAGGGTCAACCGACACATACTCATTAGTGGTGTAATACTCTTCTGTTGTACTTACTGTTTAATATATGATATATCTGCAACACTTGCTTTGTTATTTCTTTAACCATTTACTTGATCACAACATCTTATCTCATCCTCGCCGCCAAGATACATACATATATATATATATATATATATATATATATATATATATATATATATATATATATATTGTGCAAAGCGACTTTTCACTAAAATATTGTATAATCTATCAAGATCATTCTTAGTGAATACAAATTCCGAGTATAAACGTTTTACTTCACAGAATATTTGCAAAATATTTTCTGTATAAAAATCACTGAATTAATTTACCAATTTCTTGTTCTATATTTAGTTTCGTTTATCTACATTTAGTGCCGTGCGTTTATCCTTACGCCTATCTGTCGTCTATCTATATGCCTATCTGTATATCTATCTTTACACCTATCCGTACGCCTGTGTGCAGGTCTATCCGTACTCCTATCTGTACGTCTATCCGTACGCCTTTTCTTATGTCCATCCGTATGTCTATCTATACGCCTATGCGTACGTCTATCCGTATGCTTATCCGTACATCTTTGCTTACGCCTATACGTAGGTCTGTCCGAACGTCTATTCGTATACATATCCATTTGTCTATCTGTATCTCTATCCATACGACTATCCACACGCCTATTCATGCATTTGTCCGTACGCCTATCCTTTCGGATACCCTTATGAAAGGAGAATATAATCCAACCTGACACAGAGTATCGCTCTAGCATTTCTTTAATAAAAAGTTAATTTTCTTTTAAATCCTGCTGATTTTATTATTTCTTGTAGAACATGATACCATCAAAACAGATCTTATTAAGTATCTATTACCAAACTCTATCACATTGAAATTCTTTAACGTAAACTATATGCAATAATAAAAGATAAGCACACACCCTGAGAAAGATTTTTAATATCAATATTTGGCTTGGACGATTTTAGTTTTACTACAGCTTTTAGTTTTAATGACATTTTCCATTCTTATAGTATGAAGATAAATGAACACACACACACACACACACACAAACACACACACACACACACACACACACACACACACACACACACGTCGAGTCTCTTTTTCATCTGTGTGGAAATTACCCAGCATTTACCGCTATATGACATAGCTGTTCAACACTCTTTTCCATATTTCCAACGAAATCTTCCGATATTTAATACTTTACTTTATTTCTGAAAAGCTTCTTTCTCTGTTCAGACGCGCATTCGGATTTCTCTGTCACCTTTTCTATCGTCTCTTACGATATTAACCAGTGGTTAAATTTTTATACCTACGTGATTGTGATGTCTCCAATTCAAAGCTCTCTTGCTGACAACCATTCATTCTGTTTTCAGAACATACAGAAACTTTTGAATGCACATGTTTATGTATAGACTCATACAATATGTGATTTTCAGAGTTTTCTTGTATTGAGGAATATATTCATACATATGTATGTTTTTGTAGCAGTTAGGTTAGGAATTTTCCAATCTATCTATCTATCTATCTATCTATCTGGCACATAAAAGAAGACTATGGTCATTGATATAAAAAAAAGCCGTTAGAGCTTTACTCGCGATTGTAATTTGACATTCGATTTTATGAAGTTATTTTCGTCAAAGAGAAACTTTAGATCAGTCCTAAGTATTTAGTTCTACCACTTTAGCTACGTCCCTCACAAACACACACACACACACACACACACACACACACACACACACACACACACACACACAATCTCTCTCCCTCTCTGTGTATTTTTAACATAAAATTATTTTCAACAATTGAACTTAACATGTACAAAATTAGTAAATAAAACTCTAATTATATGATTGTGTTTGTGAAATGAAAGAGTGATATAGTAAGAAATAAACCAAAGGAAAGGAGAAAAAAAAAGAGAAGAAATATAATATGACAGAAATAAGATGAAAGTGAAAAAGATGGAGGAACAGATAGAGACGAAGAGAGAGAAAAAAAAGAATTTGGGAAAGAAGCAAAAAGAGAACAAGAAATGGAAGGCATTAAAGACAATATTCCATTTTGGAACAATAGCTTCATGAAAGTAGGCAGAACGCGTAAACAGAAGTCTAGCTATGTTTGCGACAAGAATCACGTGATTGTGGCATGTCGTCAACGTGTTCTAGGGAAATTGAATAACATGGAAGCCATTACAGAGTATAATTGATACAGTCGTTGAGTGACGGCATTCGATAGGATCTTGTTCATCGTTTCCAGTAATGTCCTAACAATTAATTTTCTCACAGTTTACTCAACTTCTTCAGTTATTAGGCCTACTTAAATCTATAGGCCATGACGATTTAATTGTCTGTACGTATCTTTGAGCTTCTAAATAGGGTATCCAGATATGTCTATATAAAGAAAAATGATAAAATCTGATTTAGACAGCTAGATGCTCAAAGAGTGTTCGATAGATAAATTGATACAGAAAAATATGGAGATTACGGCACAGTTGCTAACCTTATAAAGTGAAATAGTTAATATATCTTGTCAATAAGGTTATTAAAAGTTATGTAGCATTCAGTAAATATATAATCTTAAAATATGCGTAATGTAAGTTTAATGTAAACAGAATATTTGCACAAGAGCATCGTCATTATAGTTTTATTAGTTATGCTGTCGCACCTTCTCAATGTACATACTTCTGATGATAAACGCAGAATGCAAAAGCAGCCGATAATCTCAGTATTCATCTTTGCTCATTGGTTAAAAATCCAGGGGTAATCAAGGCCAAAATCTTGTCATTGTGAAATAATTGTAGAAATAATAAAGCAGAAAAAAAATCTTTTTATTCAGATAAGATGTCCTAACTTAAATGAAAAATGGATGAAAAAAAGAAAAAGGCAAAATAAGCAACGTCACTGAACGAGATGGAAACGATAAAACGATTTCGTTAGCATAGGAAAGATGAAAAAACTGAAAAACTGATTGAAAGAAAAAGATTATTTGTATTAGGATTTTACTGGAAAATAGTAATAGTGGCGTTATTGAAGTAGTCTTAATATTGCTTTGCAGTCTTTGCTTTCAATAAATTTGAACGTCTAAGATTGATTTCTTCTGGCCCAGGGTTATAACATTTAACAACAAAATGGGAACGATTACAGTGTTGAGAAAATATTACTCGTAGCAATAATTTGAAATATACATTCAATCAAATGTAGGAAATCCTTGATTTTATAATAGATGTCAATGAAACAAGACATTTTGTCATGTCGACAAATGATCTTTATTTTCATAAATCCATTTAATAGAAATAATTGACGCGACATTCATAATTTTTAAAGAAGACAAAACTACTTCATTTTCTAATTAACGTATTCAAAATCATTTTTATTGTTATAGCGTTATTGCCTGGTTGTGTTGTCCCGTCTCGGGAAAAATAGGAAAGTACCATTTACTGGAAATAAATGATTATAAAGACATTGACTACGATTTTACAGGAACGCTGTCATTTTAGTTTCGATAGGGTACAATGTCGATAGGGTACTAAGGAAAGCACTAAGCCTAACATAATAAAAATACGTCACGAAACTGGCCATATTGCACACTGCAATATGTCAACGCTGGTTTGTAAATAGCGTTAAGCACTAGATAGTTTATAACACGAACACAAGTGGCTTTTAATTCTCGATGTCTTGAAAACAGGCAAAATTTAAGTTTCGAAAAACATTTAAGTATTTAAACAGTAGAAAAAGTGTTAACAAAACATTGGAAATATGATATCAAATGCTTTTTTTATCTTTCTAAGAAAATAATTCGAAAACAAAAATTTTAGTCTTGAATTTAAGTTGTTTTTTTTGCAGACACATTATAAATTATATTACTATTAAGGCAGTTGGGGCACCTCGAGGGGTGGTGTAATGGTTAACAAGCTTGTCTCGCTAGAACAATTACAACTGAGTAATAAGTTTGATCCTCACTGAGTGCCCCTAAGCTATGCTTGGAAAATCCCTATTAAGGCAGGTGCTTTTACAAATGATTTAAAATAATAAAAAATTAGATGTTTTCTATAGCATTTACTACAGAAATATATGACAGCAATTATTTCATAAGACAAGAAATCCTAACTGAAGTTCTAAAGTTGAATTTACTAATTACATCAACAATTCATATTGACTGAGAAGAAAAATACAAACAATAAACATGAGACTTGGAATCGTAGAAATGATTTTGTCTAATGATTATAAAGTCGGGCTTAGTTGAATATCGTCTTCCTGCTCATCAACTGCAGTTGCAATATTTCGTTCAACTAAAACCTTTGGTCACTGACACTGACCCAGTGTTGCTTGTAGTGAATATGTTTTTTTTTTTCTTGCTGGTGAATTCAGACCGGGATTAAAGAATATGTCGCAAAATAAGCCAAATACCAGTGTTCTGATTTATTACATAATGAAATCTCTCAGCTGCACATATACACACACACACACACAAACACGCGCACACGCACACACTCACGCTTATTCTTTCTCTCTCACACACACACACAAAGTTTCTAGTGATTTCCTTCGAAACAAAAAACTATTTCCAACAACTTTATGGTATTTTGATTAGGGATTTTTTTTTATTATTGTTCATCCAATACAAGGATCAAGAACCACTCAAGGTAGAGGGTTACTGAATGAGTCTGTTGTAAGTAGGAGGTAAGAAGTGCATATTATGATGATATGTAGAGTAGATAACGGTTGATCGTAGACTTGAAGAAGTTAAGATTTTAATGGTCGGGGAAGCGTCCTCATAGGTGTCTGTTACTCAAAGTGATAGTTCTGGGCAAAAAGATATCGAAGTGGAACTTCTTCCTTATCAAAGAACTGCAAACGGAAAGGAGGATAAATTGACGCCGTGTAAGTGGGATGGCGACTCCTAGCTGTGAAGGTCTGAACTTATGGAACTAAGGAATGTAGCTCGTTTGAACATTTGCCATGGAAATAGTGATAGAGTAGAGAGAGGATAGCAACTTTTCGCCTGTGGGGAAAGGGTTTGCATGGTGGAATATAATTCATCACCGACAAGGCTGCTTAAATGTTTTTGAGTTTAGTCAGTGGGCACTAGTCAGCACCAGCCCAGATATGATAGTAGTACTCCATCTTGGGTCTTTTGTGAAGAAAGACCATGGTAGGAGGAGTCAGGTACTTTCTGGATAACAATATGTGTTTCTAGTCGCGCTAAGAAGTTGATTTGTCATGGAACATCTGAGAAAGTAAAAGAAATTGTGTCTGTTTTATGTTTGTTTATATTTACTTGATAGGAGTTTGATAATTTTGTTTATTAAAAGTCTCCCTGTTCATTCAAGAATTGAGAACATGATTATGGCCGGTGCTTAAAATGTGGCTATGATTTGCTTCTTATGGCACACTATCCCAAAAATATGACTCAGTCAAATAGTAATTCCTGTTCTTTTTAATCATAAAAACACAACAAATTTTGTAATAGAATCTCACAAAGCATAGCAAAATAAACACAAAATTCTAAACATAGTATCATTCCTTCTCAATTGTATTATTCTACGTTTGAATGAAAGGATATATACTCGCATCGTACAAGTCTATTGCCTGAGATTTATGTATTACGTCTTTCATTTAATCATCATTGGTCAATGGCTATTCTTTGAGTACAACCCCCTTTTGCTTCTTCATTGAGATTTTCAGCATTCTCTAAATCCAATTTGACCTTTGAGTAGCCAAGAAACTTCAAGCCCCTACCATGGTTGTTCTGAAAGCTTTCACAAAGTGTTGCAACAGTGACTATTCTGTCATCTGTAAAGAGAATATCAGGCGATATTCTCATTCTCTCTTGGACTATCAATACCATTTACTGAACCATCTTCTTATTGCCCAGCCTTTCCACAAGCATCCATTAACCTCCTGTGGATGTTTACACCACTTTCTATTTCCATAAACAGACATTCTATGACAGTTCATTTCTACGTGTGTCCAAAGGAGTAGCCATTTTGAAAATGGAATATGGATAGGAAAAGAAACGGTAACTCTACAATTTTTTCTCTCTAGCTTCGAGACACTTAATGATTTATAGCTAAACAATACAACTAAAAAATTTACTATTAAAATTTAATTAGAACGAGCATATCTTTATAGACACACGTGTGTACGCGCACACATAATCCTACATATACACATACATACACACACACACACACACATATATATATATATATATATATATATATATATATATATATATATATATATATATATATATATATATGAATGCGTATTTCTTTTGTATATGTAGTTATGACGGCAATATTTAAACCAATTAACATTTGCAATACTGCTATAAACTATGAATAACTTCATGTTACTCTGTATTTTCTTTGATCAATTCTGGAAATTAAACTAAAAAATAATATTCTATTCAATGTTGAATATTTATAGAGTTTCAGCCAAGATGAACCAAAACCGGCTTGCCTATGAACTTGCGATTGTGGCATTAGTCGTGCTGAGAAAGCAGGAACATTTGTCAACCAAAATCACGGAAAAAGCGGGCGGAA